ATTTCAGATCCTCTGAGATTTCATATTTGTCCCCCACCAAATAGTTGAGGCAGATCACATGGCCTTTTCTTAATTTGTACCCAGGATATGTCCTGTTTTCCATATCTTCCTCTGGGAGCATCATCTCCCCTCTCCCTTCCTCACTCCTCTCCCTTCCTCAAATGGTTCAGCAAGAACTCCTCTTTTCCTCCTTCAATCCATCTGTTCTCCTCAGGCTGCCTTAACACTGACAGCATGAAGGCCTAGCAAGCCCAAATTAAGAAAACCCACATTGATCTTAGTGTTTCAGAGGCACAACCTGTTTGATGGCATGCATCCAAGCCAATGTTGATATGGATGTGGCTTTGTGAAAGCAGAGTGGGAGAGGGAATAAGAGACTTGCTCTTCTAACTGCCTACCAGAGCTATAGAAGAGGACTACAGTTTCCACCACCACAGGACTGCTCTGTACTAAGGTCCCAATTCCCATCACCTGCATGCTCACCTGGTTGTGCAAGTATCAAAACAGTAACAACTCGTTTAGAGAATTGTTTGGGTTCACAGGGACCTTCAAAGGTCATCTAGTCCAATCCCTGCTGCTACACCATTGACAAGTCTCAATACCTGAAGCATCCTGGAGGACAACGAAAGGTAGGGATTTACTTTTGGTTTTAAATTATATGAATAAGACTACTACTAAAACCAAACCAACCAGAAAAAAAAAAAAAAAAAAAAAAAAAAAAAAAATTAAAATAAAAAAGAAGACGCTACCAAGAAAATAAAATAAAAGCAGAATGCCTGTTTACCAGATGGATAAGGGGCAGAATTGCTTGAGGGAGATTATGACTCCCTGTTTTCAAGAGTTTACTACAAAAAACAAAACAACAAAAAAAAAAAAAAAAAAAAAAAAATCAGTGGCAAAATTTCTATTCCTTATCAGTGCAATCTGGAACTGGCCAGAGGAGGCCTTGCTCAATATGCTGATCCCAGAAGCATCACAATTTTGGGGTCCTATGAAACTTAGCAGTTCACTGTTGGCAGACTCAGACATAGGTACACAATATGCACTTCTGTGGCAGATAGCATATCCACTAAGAAATAACGCTTACATTTGTGAAATTGATAGCCAGTTGTACAGAGTCCTAAGTAAGCATTCTTTCCAGAAACAACCTTTCTTCCTTATGCACCTTCAAAAGACATCAGTTAACGGTGAGTGGATTAGCAGCATGACACAAGGAGCTGTGGAAACAGGACCTCATATAACTAATTTTCTGGGTCCTGTCCCTTAATCTGTCTGCCTGAGCAGCCTTCCCTGGAGAAGGAACATACATACTTACTACAGAAGCTAGAGCTACATCAGTGCGTAGCACAGACCAATAGAGGTGGCTCTGCTGAGGAAAAAAATGGTGCCAAGTGTTTGAAAGTGAAACTACATACATGGGGGGAAGGCTGGTCCCTGGGACTGGGTGCCAGGTTGCAGCTAGTGTGGTCCTTCCCATTTCTCAGGTGCTCAAAGACTAGTCCACAAAGCAAGCTGAAGAACTAAGGCAGGGACAGCTGGGACATTTGCTTCAAAAACACACTCTCTGCCTCAGCTAAAACATTAGCTTGGACACGTACATTAAGACTAAAAAGGCTGTGAAGTAACCAGAGATGGGAAAGCTCACAGGTATGTGTAGTTTCCTATAGACACACTCATGAGGAGCACAGTATCCTGTAACTCCTAAATTTGCTCTAAAAAGGTGCAATTTCACCTACTCAATCTGTTGATAGTTTTCAATTCCAGTCTTTGCACCTCCCGTGTCTCTCCTATTCTCTCTGCTCCTCTGTACCTCTGTGACAGTAGCTGGCTGAACCAGAAGGGATTGCTCAGCCTGAGGATCTGCAGACTGATTAGAGCACGTTAAAAACACCACACCCACCACTTGATTCCACTCAGGTACTATAGCTACTATATATGCTGGAAATTATCTTCTTGTTTGCTCACATTTTGCAGGGGAGTGGGACATAGGACTCCAGAATGAACTGCCAGAAGGCTTTGAAGCTAACAAGCTTGGTGTGGAGGTCTTCATTTGTAAAGTGGATGAGAACTGCCCAATTGATTACAGCTGACAGGTACTCTTAAGAAACCAATATCTTTCACACAAGACACTGTAATTGACTGGGAATACTCCCAGAGCATGGCTCATGGTTTAGTTTCAACAGGAGAGTTCAGGTCTCTTTCAGCAAGACTGCTTAGAGATGTGAACCAGCACGAGGCAACTGGAGAAGGTCTCCAGAGGATGTGTCAGATAATCAAGCTGGATGTGAGCCAAATTAGTAATGTAAACATATTCAGAATTTGTTTCAAGGCAAAGTCAGAGAGGTCAGTTTACCACTAAAATGCCTTGAAAAGGAGGAGTACTCATGCAGTCCCACGTACCACTGAGAAGTGACTCAGGGAGCTGCTCCTGCAGCTTCTGCTGTCAGACTCTTCTTTCCAGCTCCTGCCAGGAACAAGCAGCATTTCCACCTTGGGCTCAGGCTTGGCAAACCCTGTGGTGCAGCACAGCTCAGTGCTCAATCTTACATTATGTGGATGCTGAGGATGCAAAGCCCAAACCGTAGCCTCAGTCCTGCGCTATTACAACCACTTTCTTCATCTCTTTACATCAGTCTCATTTTTCCTTAGTATATCCTTCTTTCCTGGTTGGAATCTCACCACCTGACTTCCTCCCCAGTATTCCAGCAAACCCTAACCTTTGTAAAGGGCTGGAGTTTACTTTTCTTGCCTCCTTCCCAAAGCTTGTATTCAAGGAGGATAATATATTTCATGCAGTCTTTTGGCCTACATCACAGAGCAAACGATTTAAAATGAATGTCAAATAAAACAAGCTTTCCAATCAAGAAGGCTGAGCAGATGTTCATAACAAAAATTTAAAAAAAGAAAAGAAGTCACATGAGCTAGAGGACCTTAAATCCAACAAGGTTCAATCTCCAGGCAGCCCAAGCTTGCTCTTCGTGCAATTTCGTGCTAATACATCAAATGACCCCTTGGGAAAAAACAGGCTTGCCTGGCCCTGTATACCACTTATGCCCTGTTGGTACAGCTAAGCAGAATTTTTGTTAACATTGGTTACAGCTGATCATACCCTAACTGTAAGTACAAGTTCTCTGTACAGCCTTAAAATACAAGATGCTTTAAATACTAGCAGCATTCTGGAGCCCTACAAACACTCGCATTTGTGCGACAGCATTTTCTCTGCTTCCATCACCGCAAGCAGCAGCAAGACTCTGTTTGCACAGGGGAGATGATAGATAACAAAATAACCACCTAATGCAACACAGCCCTGAAGGTTCCCTGCTTAAGTATAGCTTAGCTCAAGGGGCTGTAATTCCCCAGCAAGAGTGACAAAGATGTTTGATCAGAGGAAATTCTTGGGTTCACAAATGTCAGCGCAGCTGATGTGACGCTGTCCCATGGCTAATAAAGCCCTGTCTCAAGAGCCGAGCAGACGAAGGATTCGTAGGCACTTTGGTTATGTGCTTAGCTCTAGCAGGTTTGTACACGGAGCATGAGTTTGTACAGAGCATGTTATTACCTTGTATCAAAGAATCAGCAGGAAAGTTAACAAGTTATTACATGATTTTTCCATTGTTTATGGCTTTCCTGGAAGTATTTTCTGTTAGTTTTCTGTCTAGGGTGATACATACAGCATCTGATGCTGTCACATGATTTCACCCTCGAAAATCATAGGTTTCTTGTCTCTGAGCATCTATTAGGCTTGGCGACAAGTCAATTGCTACAGCAAAGTGGTTTTGCATTAATTTTTAGCTGAAATTATGCTTAAAATGATATGCAAATGATGAGAATTGAAAAAGTCAAGAGATATGTCTAGATGTAATTCCACTTGTTTGGTTTGGAAACGCCGTGGTCTGCATTTTTTAAGTAAGTCAGAGAAAAACAGGCTCTCCTTAGAATTAATAAGTCTTTTCTGTACTCACACTTGGCTAAAAATGTTAAATAGACATAAGTATGCAACACCTACCAAATTACTGCACATAAGTCTTTTGCTGTTCTCATCTTAGGGAGACAAGATGTTCTTGTCACAAACACACTGAACTGCTTCAACTATTCAAGGCTCCGCCAGTACAAAATAACCTTCCTTAAAAAACACATAATGAAATGTTTGAAACAGAAGGCAAACAGTAAGCTTGTGTAGCGCATAGGGATGATGCAGGAGTTAAGAGATGCCATTTCTTCTATTCTTCTTCATTTTAGGATAAAATTTTAGAGGCAGAAGAGAGAAGAATGAAAGCTTGGATTTAGTAAAGCATGCAAGCCACAAAATAAATTCTCTTTCAGTTTCTAAAATGGCTCCTTTGTTTCAAACGCCTTTGTCACAAAAAAACCAGCTTGTTGTGATCTGTTGAGTTGACTGAATTGGGACAAAGGTGTTGTTCTTCCCTCTTCTCTCTCCCCCTTCTCCCCCCCAACCCCGTTCCCCCTCCTATTCTGACATACACTTTAGCTACTTTCCTTTTAGCCTGGAAATGGTAAGAAAAGCAGAAACTGCGAGGACAAAGAGGAACATAAAAGACTACAGACATCAATTCTGGAGTTAACTCAGGAGCAAGTGTAACTTCAATACACAATGACCATGCGAAGCGGAGGGGGGGTGGGGGGGTGGGAGGGATGAAAGGGAAGCAGGAAAGAAGAGAGTGCCATGAATAAAAAATAAATTTAAAATAAAAAATTAAAAATCATCCTTATCATGCCCACACGTCGCTGTAACCGAAGCCCAGGGCCCCGAGGG